CCCCAAAACCCCAAAACCCCAAAACCCCAAAATTTCTAAATAAAATAAATCAAAAATGCTGAACAGCGTCGTTGGAACAACGAGAAGCTACTCCAGGCGGAACCATTACGGCCAGGATATGGCTGCTTCAGCAGAAAGGCTTGGCCGCAACAACAGGTTTCTTCAGCTTAAATAGAACAACCTATTTTGATTTTAACAAAACAGTTGTTGATAAGAAGAAAACCACGACTGTGTTAACCAGGCAGAAAATATGCAGGATCAATGCTGAAATGAGACGACGCAGAAGCGCTACTAACAGTAAGGCAACCAAGGAGCATGTCCTAGTTCAGGCGTACTACTCCAGGCCTGATAGTTACTCCCCTCCGAAAGGGCTGACTCAGAAGAACCTTGAGCTGAGAAATCGTATTTATGAACTTGAGAAACATATAAGGAAAGCTCAGATTCGTAATTTGAAAATGAGAAATAATGTAATTGTTGACTTAAAACTTTATAGAATAAGGAACTGCGATACCAGCAACAGAGGATGCGAAAGTTTGAAGCCTCTGTCTTAGAGTCTCATAATCACTCAACCCAGATTCCGACCCAGATTGACTTCAACCGAGTGGAATCTGCTATTCAGACGAGGTATAAGCAACATGAGAGGCGAGAGAAGAGTCTTGAGATCAGGTAGTGTGAGACTCTGATGTTTTAGCCCAAGGGAGAAATACTCCAGCAAGCATGTTGAAAGCGTGTCCCGTCATAAGCATAGTCGTAATCACCAAATCGAGTTTTCTATCAAGAAGTATATGAAGAGTACGACTGCAAGTCATAAGAAGACAAAATAAACTGTACAGTGGCAATCAAAGCTTTGGCCAAAAGCAGTCGAATGGAGTTTTCATTAGTAAGCTCTTGGGCTCATTCATAGCTGTCCCTCCTAGCCTGTATGACTACGACGACAAGGTTATGATGATCAAGAGAGGCATCCAGAAGTATAGCAAGCGCAAGACCAATATGGCACAGTTAGTTGAGAAAATTAAGAATGATAACAAATAAGCTCAAGAAGCGTATCAGAATTTACAACACGCAATCTCCTGTTAAGAACTGTAAGCTATTGGGATAACTCTTGTAGTGCAAAGTAGCTGAGATTATCTTGATTGCGGAATCAGCCAGGCTGAGGATGTGTACGTCATTAATGACAAATAGCCTTCCTCCTCAGTCTAATTTCGGGATCTCGAAGGTCAAATCAACACACAAATTTGCACAGTAAGCATTCAGGTAATTCTTCAGGTCTATTGCTGAAGTTAAGGAGCAAACCATCCTGGTGGACAACAAAATTTTAACCGAGAGAATTCAAAGCGTTGATGAGGCAGCCATAGGTCAGAAAATCTTTGGTTCGAAGTCTAACAATTGCTTGCAAGTAAATGCTGGTAACTCAAGCGTTTCAAATCTTTAGAGGACCAAATTGATCTCAAAAGTTCGTCTAATTTTGAACTAATTGGGTCTTCTAAGAGTATCAAGGATGACCTCATTGATGCTGAGAGAAGAATAAACCTCACTGAGAACCAAAGAATGGACGACTTCCTGCAAACATGTCTTCGGATCCAAGAAATCTTTCTATTTCTTGAGACCTTAGTTGTTGAGATTCCTGACAGATTTGACTACATTGACAAGCCAAACTTTTACCTTGTCAATAACGATGCTCTTGCTTTATTCAAAACTTCAAAGTGGCTCAAATAAGAAGGCACACAGGATCAGGAACATATCGATCAAGTCGAACGAATGGGTGGTCATCTCTGAAGATCCACAAGAGCAGTTATAATCCCGGATGAGAGCCTTTTCGTTAACACGAAACTGTTCTCAGCAGGAAAGGAGTATATTTACAATAAGGATAACAACTACATTCTGTTACCAGTCAGGGATAGCTCTGGAGAGCTGCTCTTAGTTCTCCAGATCTTCAGGAAAGACTCGCCCCAAGCAGACCCGACTGGAAGTTCGAGGCCACCAGTATTGTACAAATGTGAGCTGACTCTTATGAAAATTTTCCTCTGCATGGTCGGGTCCCATATCGAGCACATGGTTTTGAAACATGAGAATTCAAGGAAGAATTATGAGATCAAGACCAATGAGATATGTATCAACACTTTGTTGAATATTTTTAATGAGCTTAGCTTCATCATCAAAGGACAAGACATCTGCTGACAGTTTATGAGCTTTCAGAGATGCAATATACGCTTACTGGAGACTAGCACAAATTGATTAATATTTTATGGTAATTTCGGCACTTTTCTTGTAAAAAATTTCTGTAGAGAATATTTAGCAGATAATTCTTTGTTAGGAGAGTAAGCTTTCTGACTGCTAGCCACTCTTGAAGACTCTGTTTGTAGTCTTAAGCATAGACTGGGCTGTAAAAATTAGATCGATGAAAAGGAACACTTTATGTCAAATTTTCATTCCAAATTTTATTCAATTTCTCAATTTGTTCACTCTAGATGGCAAATAACGACAAAGAAATGTTCTGCAGAGCCCCAAAGAACGTTGGAATGATAGGGATGGTTTTAGACAAACAGATGATATATAGGTCAGAATTCTTCGATGAGACTATGAATCATGATTCAACCATGCTCCTCGAGCCTCGGTACAAGAACGGGTTCTTGTCAGAGGCTGATAGCTTTTCCATCGAAGAAGCAAAGAAAGAAAACTTTACTAACTTTCGAGATGCGGCACTTTTAAGACCTTGCTCAGTGCTCTGAATCCCAATATTTTGTGAAGAATTTAGCAAGCCGATCGGTGCAATTCAGCTCATCGAAAAGACGAACAAGAAGAGTATCTGCCAAGAAGATATCACCAGGGTGAAAGCCCTGGGATGTCTCATGGGGAGTATCCTCAGCAACATCTGCTTCGTCAGTGAACGATTTCGGAATTTCTTCGAGATCAACCAGGCGATTACTCCTGTTCGGAACATTACAGAAGACCTGTACAATATTTTCTCTGAAGGAAGCTCATTCGAGTAATTTCAATATCTGTGAATTATCATGGGGTTTTGGGGTTTTGGGGTTTTGGGG